CTTGGGTTTCAATTCCAAACATGGTTATCCTTCTATGGCTCCATCAACGCCCCCCTCCCTTATCCCTTGGTTTCCAGTTGCTGGCTCTATAGTGTAAGCCGGTGGGTGAGAGAAATAGACAGAAAAACACAGCAAGAGAGACAACAGGAAGACACAAACAGGGTGAGAAGCTGGAGGAGAGAAGAAGGGACATAATGAGAGGAGGAGAAGAAGAAACCCATTCCAGCTGTGTTTTTATAACGAATAGAGCCGTGAGAACTTCTCATTGAAGAATTTTCCACTGCATGCCAAGGGAACAAACATTTACTTCAGATATTTTTGGTCAGTATCATCTGTTTTGGTCAAGCTGTAATTCTAACAGAAACACTTTGCTGAAACAGTACAGAAATAGCACCAGGCTTCATTGTTAAGAAGTCATTTTGGTTCACTTTGTTTTGTGCATCTTGAGCTGGCCATTTGAAGAGTCCCAAACATGAGCGCAGACAACCTGACTCTGCTGGACAGCTTGCTCTTTGCCCCTCTCTGCGATGGCTGGAGCAACAACACAGAGGGAGCCATCTACCATTTGGGTAACACCATCCTGTTCCTGGGCTACATGGGAGGAAGTGGGGTCTACGGCTGCCTCTTCATCTTCAGCTTCCTGACCCCTGCATTTCTGTGTCTGACGCTGTGGGGCTGGTTGACGATGTGCAGCCTGGACGTCTTCATATGGAACCTGCTTTTGCTGCTCGCCTGCTCTGCTCAGATCTGCCACCTTTTTTACCGGCTGCTCCAGGAAGGCATATGCAGTGAGGAGCTGACCTCCCTCTACAAGGCAGTCTACCTGCCGCTAGGCGTACCCATCCATGTGTTCAAGGAGATAGCAAGTGCTTTTGAGAATAAGGTGGTGGAGCTGAAAGCTGGAGAGACATATGCTGTGGAGGGCAAGACGCCCATTGACCAGCTCTCCTTTCTGCTGTCTGGGAGGTAGGGTGTGTGTATGTTTTGGCACGATGTACAACATAATGCAAACCACTCCCACAGAGTAGAACAAGTGAAAATGGCAATACCACATTGTAAAATACTTAATTACAAGTGAAATCTAACTTTGAAGATTTTTTCTTAAATGTGAGGTGATTTGTTGCCACTTGGTATGAGGCGCCGAATGTAAAAATAACACTTACACTAGTTTTCTCACATTTAGCTGAATGTGACAAGTTTTCTCACATTCAGCTAAATGTGACAGTCTAAATGTAAATGTTAAATGTTAAATATAAATGTTAAATGTCTCGCCAAGTGTAAAACTGAATATTTAGTAGCTCCACAGCCTTGCCCTATTACAGCGCAGCACACAGCCCCGCCCAAGATGCTGAACTCAAATCAATGATGCTGACTCAAAGACCTCAAACACAGCCCCGCCCACACCTGACTCTGGGTCTGTGGGAATGGGAGGGAAAGGCTGTTGAGCTACTAAATATTCAGTTTTACACTTGGCAAGACATTTAACATTTACATTTATATTTAACATTTACATTTAGACTTTGTCACATTCAGCTAAATGTGAGAAAACTAGTGTAAGTGCTATTTTTACATTCGGCGCCCCATAACTTGGAAGCAGTGGAAACAAATTGAGAACACATATCTCACATTGTATGTGTATGGTTAATATAGCAAAAGTGTTGGGAAAGAGCTATGTTTTAATACACCCAGCAATTAGCATCAGTCTGGAGTCACTTTTATGGCCATTCAATGAATGCAAACCCAGTCTTTACTCTCTTCTCTTTTAGCTCTGTTTTTGGTCTCTAGCAGCTCCTATATATCTGGCTCTTTAGTCCTCTGAGTTCACAAGCTAGTCGATAGTTGTGTCTGTCGTGTGGTGCTAAGCAGGTTCGACACAGTAGGTTTATAGGGCTTTTTTTCAGCTGTGTCTGGAAATGATGCTGCAGAGCAGTGAGCCCGAAACAAAACAGTAAACTTGCATGTCAGTGTGCTTAAAGGCACTAAAATGCTCCACTGAGCTGAGGAAAATTCAGGTGATCATTCTCTGTGGGTTCATCTCTGTGACCCACTGGATAATAGAACTACAGGACGTAACTTAATTTGGCATTAACATGAAACTCTAATCACCCCACTCTGCTCTGCCCAGCACTCCCTCTCTCTGCACTGAAAAAAAGGACTCACCGGGTCTTTGGATTTACACAAATTATGCTAGTATATGCAACACAATTCATTCATATTTCCTCAGTTAACATAATTCAAACAAGTTAACCCCTAAAAAAATTATGTTGGTTTTACACATTATCATTGTGTGGGACCGATGTACACATTACAATGAAGTAAATCCAACAAATCTTTTTTTTCAGTGTTCCACTACGCTACGCTTTGCAACTCTCTGCCCAGATTTTTAGATTTTTCTTGTTATGAAATTATAAGAAATGAAAATGCAACAAAACTGACTAATAAAGCAGAAATAATTGGAAACATCTAACTGGTTAGAGAGGTCAATCCCACTCGAAACCTTTTAGAAGCTAATATCTCTGCACTGTTCAATGAGTCTGGGTCATACGAGGCTTCGACAGCACTTCTCCACATTAAGACAAGTTTTGGAGCAGATTTCTACAGCACATATATTTGAAAAAAGTTACATAATGTAGCTTTAAGTAAAATTACCACACCGAAAAGTGATGCCACAGTGTGCCAACACAACCTGGAGTACACTTTCACTCACTGCAGGAGGATGACAAGTTAAACCACTGGCAGTCAGCAAAAACACAGTGTTAGCTTCCTCTTAAGTGTCAAGAGTAAAAGTACACATTTTGCTGAGTGAGCCCTTTCAGAGTGTTGTTATAGCATAATACTGAATTATTCTGAACAAGCAAACATACTGTAATTCAGCTAATGATAACCTGTGAGATAAAGAAAACTGTTGTGTAGTAAAAAGTTAAATATTTACCACTGAAATGTAGTAGAGTATAAAGTAGTAATAAGTATCTTATAGTTATACTTCAGTTACCTGTACTTATAGTCAACATTCCTATGATGCTGTCTGAGCAAACTGAATGTTACATCACCATGTATTTCAAGACTACTTGTTGTGTTTTGCTTTTTTTTGCATGTCCACGTTATTTTGTGTGTTCACAGCTCCTTGTGTTTGGGAGTTTTGTGACCAAGAAGAATAATGATAGTTCTTACTTTCCCATTTAAATCACACAACATTACATTTTCTGGACACAGCCAGTAGCATGTTGTTGCAGATTTATCACAGAATATTAGGCTCTAACAGATCATTTGTACCACAGCTATAAACTGTGGTATTTACTGATTTAAATTACTCTTGTAGTGATATAAAAGCAGCCATTATTTTTATGAAATCTCCTGTGAACTGACTATTCCAGGACTGGATTCCTTTTCTGATTCCTTTAGACTGTTGGCAGACTAACTGTCACAGGAAATGTATCCACTTCATCCAAACATCCTCAGAGTAGAGCTGCATTAGATCTCACAGTCCTGGAGCCGACACAAGAGAAATATTGTAAACAGAGTATTTTTGTCTGTGACTCATCGGTGTGTTGTTCGTCTGCACAGTGCCAACTGGCTAAATGACCTCTTTGTACTTGGGACACGAGAGTAGACTCTCCTTGTACCTTAGATTATATATTTGTCGACAGCTCTGAGTGTATGAGCTAAATTTGGGACAACTAAGATGTCATTTTATATTTTCATCTGTCTTTATCTGATTGTGCATAAACCTTTCAGATTTGAAGAATCAGCAGCCGTGTTCAGTGTAGGGGAAAGCTTTCTACTTTGGAACCTGGCTGTGGAGAGTCTCTCCCATTCAGCCACAAGGACATCAAGTGAGGTCCAGCACCCATGCTGGGTAATAAGCCCTGGCTCACAACTTAGGTTTCAGTTTATCCCATAGATGTTAGATGGAGTTGAGGCCACTCAAATTCTGCCACACCAAACTTATGTCTTCACTGACCTGGGCTTTTGAAGAGAAGTCATGCACAGGAATAAGGAAAATTTAGCCGCACACTGACAAGTTCAGTGAAGAATTTTAGACTACAAATCAAAGAACTCCTAAATTCAATCAAATATTTAAATGCAAATAATAGGTTAAAACTACTTAATAACGTATACTGCTTAGTTAATATAGTATTATTGCTATCAGTGACGTGCGGTGAGGTTGACAGCTGGTGAGGCACTAATTCTTTTACAGTCAGATTTACAAATACAAATTGTCTGTTAACAGACAATGCGTTGTGTTTTATATCTCATATCAGCATTCTTCACACAAACGTGACCCATATTTAATTTGAGGTTATAATTTATTCCAGTTGAGCTTATTTCTAACTAGAAATAATAAAAGTTTATGGTCTTACCTTTACTTGTACATGAAATCCATTGGTTAGCTGGTATGTATTACAAACCCTTTTACCGTTCGAATCCAATATTAAAACAAATGTTTTCAATAAAGAAGATCCTTCTGGACAAAAATGTCCAGACTGTCTAAAATGTTTTGATTGAAAGTCCAGATTTGCGAATTT